GTGTGTGTGTGTGCGTGTGTGTGTGCAATGTCCTTTAGACTTCTTGAGCTTGAAAGTCTGTATTTCATTCACAGCCTGAACTCTCGTATGGAAGCTTTCCTGTAAATTCTTACTGACAGTAATGATGTGCAATATTTTATAAAGCAAATCGTAAGACTCAGAAACTCCAAATCAAAAATTAAATGCTGGCATTTTTATTATCGTATAAATTTCAATTAATTAACCCCCTAATTGCTAAAACTAGTCTGTATGTACATGTCGACATCTGTTACCTGGATACTAAAGTCAGATATGAAAGATTTGTCCTTATCTTCAAGAAAAAAAAATTCTAAACATTATTTTGTGCAGAAAATACAATACATATAAAGTTGTGCTGGAGAAATGGCTTTTATTTTCTAAGAAGAAAACAAATTACAGAAATGATTGCTGTCAAAACATTTTATGAATGATAGTTCTGTTTGAAAAATATAGAAAATGCTCAAATGTGTCAATGTTTGGGTCTGCTTTTGGTCATGTTTGTATAAAAGCCAAATGAAGTGAGAAAGAAACCATCTGTGCTCTCAGAAGCAGGAAAATAAAAGTAGTCCTACATTGTTTGTTTTTTTTGTTTGTTTGTTTTTCCTGAATTATGGCAGTATGTACAAACACAGTAGTTGATAGTTGCTTAAAAAAAGGGGGGGGGTCATTTCTGCACCTGTCACCAACATAAATAGAAGGTATGCAAATAAGACAGTCAAAAATAAGACAAAGTTGTGTTTTTTTAAAAGGGATATGTTGTTGACTTTAGTGGGCAGGTTTGTTGGTGGATGGAAAAATGAAGGTGTCCAGAGCGAGGGGTGGATGGAAGGTCACAGAGAAGCTGATGTATAAATACGGTGAATAACAGGTCAGTCGCATCCAGTCTGCTCTTGAGCAAGCTAAAAGATGATTGGTCTGATTGTTTTCATGATCCTGGGCACTGCAGGTAAAGACTATTTGCATCATGCTCAAAGATTTTAGAGTAACAGAGACTTTTAATGATGAGTAGAACTTGTTGTATTTCCTTCATATTACAGCTGCAGTCCCTTTGGATGACAAGATTGTGGGGGGTTACGAGTGTCCAGCTCATTCTCAACCCTGGCAAGTATCCCTCAGTGAGGGCTACCACTTTTGCGGCGGTGCTCTCATTAACAACCAGTGGGTCATTTCTGCTGCCCACTGCTGGAAAATGTTTGTACCGACTTCTTGTATCTTAAAATTCTTGCTATGTGTGTCTAAGAGAACTGTAATAATTTAATTGTTGCTTGCTTTTCAGACCCTCTACCCATGTTGCCATTGTGGGTGAACATACAATCTGGTATACTGAGGGCACAGAGCAGTATATGGCAATTGACGACATCTACACACATGAGAGTTTTGATTACTTTACCCTAGACTATGACATCATGCTGATGAAATTGAAATACCCTGTTACTGTGAACGAGTACGTCAAGCCTATTGCTTTACCCAAAGCCTGTCCCACACCCGGGGATATGTGCACAGCATCTGGATGGGGGCAGACATTCCCTGGTCAAGGTAAGGTAAAAAAAAAAAGTAACCTGATTTTGACAAAAAAGGTTTTGAAAAATTGACTTGCTTTTGGCAACATATTAGGAATTTTCTAACAAACCTTGGTAAATTTAAAAAATATAGTTAAAACTTTTCATAGATATGAAGACATTTAAACAAAAGTCTTCAATAATTAAGAAATCTTTTCTGTAGAAAGCTTGTTTTTGGCTTAATGTGATGACTCTAAACTCTAAAAAATGAATGCAGAGCACTTATTTTACACCAGTTTCAGAAGCCAGTTATTGTTGGCATGCAAGCATGATGTGGTTGTGATGCACACAGATGCTCTGAATACTTTAGTAAAGATAACAATCCCCTCTCCTTTCTCTCAACTGCAGACTTTTCATATGAGCTACATTGTGTAGAAGTCCCAATTCTGTCTGACATCGACTGTGAGAACTCCTACCCTGGCAGGATTACTGAGAGCATGATGTGTGCTGGATACCTGGAAGGGGGCAAGGATGCTTGTCAGGTATTTTTACTCAGTTACTTGAATAGTATACCATTGAATAGTATACTCATTAGTAAACCTTAATGAGATGAGATGATGAACAAACCCTGCTCTCTTCTTACGCTTCCTCTCCCCTGCTCAGGGGGACTCTGGTGGCCCTCTGGTGTGTAATGGGGAGCTGCAGGGAATCATCTCTTGGGGTGTGGGCTGTGCTGAGCCCAACCTTCCAGGTGTCTACACCAAAGTCTGCTCTCTGGTTTCCTGGATCAATGACACTATTTCCCGATACAGCTAGACTGTCATCTCTAGAACTTCACGAGAGAAGGGAAAACAGAGAGATTGAAATTGAAGGAGACAGAGAACGGAGGTGGTTGTGGGTAGTGTCAGAAAGACAAGCAGCAGGCTAAGACAGAGTCACAAGGAAAAAACAATCTGAGGGCACAATAAATAAAATCAGCTATTCTGCATCAATATGTTTGTATTTATTTGTAATGTTTCTGCCACTTTGGCAAATGTCTTACTATAAGACATTTCTGTAATGTCTCATATTAAAAAAATGTAATTATTGTGTCAAAGTGTGGCTACCCTTTTACAATCATCAGTGACTGATGCAAAACTCAACACATAAAGTTGCTTCATTCAACAATGGAAACAGTTTTAATATTCAACTTATTTATGCATGGTTTTGATGCGGTTTTGTCAGAGGTTTTACTCCCCCACCCCCCACCCCCTGTGTGAATATAACAGTAAATACTAAATATTGAAAATTATTGTGCAGCACGTAAGATCGAAAGTTTTATAAGAAGTACTTCTTATAAAAGAAGTACTTCTTGATGGTAACTTCAACAGAAGATCTGGCGGCAGAAACACACAAGGAGATTTCATGAAGACCTGTAGTTGAAGATATAAGGTATTTTTCCAAAGTTTTTTTTCAAAACATGGACCTTTGAAAAAAGTAATAGTTAATGTTAAAGTGTACAGATGCTTGGACACGCTTTACCTCCTGGCCGCTTATTTTGGGAATGCATTTTTTCCTCCCAAATATTTGTTGCCTAAAAAGCATAAAAAACAAACTTATTTACATTATTGTTATATACTATATTTTAAAAAAAAGAAGAAAGAAAAAAGCAATTAATGATCATAGATATAAGGTGCAGAAAAGTCATGAGTACATCAGTACATCACTAGATCCTGTCATGGCGGGGTACGCCGGTGTGTTTACGGACCGAAAAA